ATTGTTGGTCGCTGAGTACAACCTCACACAATCCACCTTCTCTTCCAGACTCAATCGCTGCGCCGCCATCTTGATATGGACGATCCTCATGATTCGCGCCTTTTTCGCATCCCCTTGCTCACATAACGCGCGCAATTTGTATTGCGTCAGTCGCGCGTGACGCGCACACGGCGCTTTCAAAGATTGTATATATTAATCTGGGCCACCCTGTATAAGCGAGAGTAGTTCTCGCTTTCTCCGTGCATTGAGGCTTTCTCCACGTAAATCCCATGGGTAAAGCCCATTTTTGTTGATCAGGGTTGCTGTGCATTTTACCAAAACCAGTGGAATGAGTAAATATGGATATCTGAGGGTTAAAACGACATTTGCTGTCTATTGATTTCTGTCAATATTTTCAACTTTGTATAAAACCACTCAGCATGGTGATGAACACTCAGCATGGGACCTTACGCAATAAAGGAATTGAAGTTCCGTAAGGGGAAAGATGCCCAGGTTTCTGACCAGTCGGGTTCGGACTGCTTTTCATCGGCTTTCCTCTCCCAGGGCTTCCAATCCTGGGTGAAGGATGTTCGCCCGAGACGGGATGCGACACGCCGAATGCGGAATGCTCCGGGTCGACGTGCGAGTGCACGCAGGGCTTTCTCCAAGACGGGTCGGAATGCAGTGAGTTGGGGGGGAATTCAACATTGCGGTTGGTTATTGGAAGATGTCATCATCTGATTGCTGGGAGCATGAAAGCCTCATCTGCATCCCATCAGGTGGTGGGGTCTCACAATTGCTTCTCGAGTCAAATTCTTTTTTTTTTCCTTTTCAGTAGGTTATTTTCACATGGTGGTACTCGCAACAATTTCGCAATAAGTTCTTATTCGCTATTATTCTAATTCGCTAAAAATCCAGCACCCTTACTATTCATGAATGCGAAAGGTTCCGACGATCTCTGTCATCTCCTTAGTACTGGATGAAAACCCGGAAACCGGCGAAGGAGGGTTGGGAGATCCCTGCGACGGAGACGAAGACTGCAACGAGGATCAAAATCTAGCATGTAATTTGTCCCTCATGAAATGCGACTGCGCCGACGGTTACGTCTTCGATACCGACATTCTCATGTGCGGTAATGCGTCCCCTTCTAGTTTTTTTTGTAGAGGAATATCGTGTCTAAATGAAGGACGTCTTCATCGTAAGATTGATTTTTAGTGACCGGTGGCGGCGGACTGGGGGATCCATGCTCCAATGATTCGGATTGCAACGGAAACCTCCACTACCACTGCGACGAAGAGGCGCAAATTTGCACCTGCGCGGATGACTATGAGCTTGATTTGGAAACCCTCCTCTGTGGTGAGTTCAGAAATTTACTAAGGGGCCCGTTCGTTTCTTTAGAGGCGATTAAATCGGAGGTTGGAGCGTCAACTGGACGCTTTAGGTATTTCATGAGAGTCAATAACAAAAAGTCTCTTTTGGCATCGATTTGTTCGCAGGCGATCAGAAATCGGGAATATAAAAATTGTTCAACTATTGGGACAAAAAACAGACTTGATCTTAAGGCTATATGCACCAAATATCCCAACCTTGTTGCACGCCGCCTCCCCCCCTTTGATCCCTTCGGTTAGGCCTCTGTTTTAACTTTAAGAGGGCGGGGCAGGGCAGCACTGCCCAAAAAGCAAATACGGGGAGTTCGGTCTTGTGAATTTGGGTATCAACGTGAAGTTACCAAGTAGCTACATAAGGTCATTGCAGTTCAACTCCGGTACGAAGCGGGCTACTTTGAAATGTTATTGTTATGTATCTACACGGCTCAGAAATGACAATGCCTTCAGAGTAATCGAGGAAAAATAATCACTTTCTACTTACCTGAATAGAATCAAGTATGTTCACGCCGCTGCGACAATTCACCAATTATATATATCAAAGAATATGCCGATCATAACAAGCTGCTTCATGAAAGAGAGTTAGATCCTAGACGTCAGACGAGGCGAAACTATTAAAGTCGACCTAAAGGCGGCAGAAAGACAATAATGAAGTCTCAGTATTTAGCCAACATCCGATATCGGTGCCCTTTCAAACCTCGAATTGCAAGGCATTCAAGCTGAGGGCTATGCTATTGCAGAGCAAGGGGACTGACGTGCACTCTGCGTACGCCAACACTCGCAA